AATCTGTGGGAATGGTTTCCATTTGGAAAATGGAATTGATGATCCCCTTTTTGAGTCCATCATTGAAAAACGTGATTAAGACGGCATCTTGCTTTATGGAGGCTTGTGCAGCAAGGGTCTTAAAGCTAGTGACATAGGAGGTTAGGTTGCCCATTTGTTTCAAGGTTCTGAGTTTATTCATGGCAGTACCAATGGCATTGGCTGGTATGAAGGCTTCCTTGAACTTTGTTTCAAAGTTTGCAAAGGTTCCATAAGACTTGGAGGTGGAATTGTCAACCTTGGTATAAAAGGTGAGTGTCCAGCCCATGGCACTATCTTCGGTCATGTACGTGAGAGTGGTAATGACTTTCTTTTCGTCGGTGTTATACAGTGGCTCAAAAAACTGTCCACATGTTTTTGCATTTTTTACTATTTACAATATTGTGTGAGAATACATAAAGACCTCAGTGACATGCTAATACCATATTGTAGTGCTGCTTCAGGGCTTTGGATTGAGCACCACATCGTGAGAATCAGAGGAGATATGGTGGAGATACAAGGCTTACAAAATCATGACTCATGTGGACAGTTTTTTGAGCACATATTAAAACTATATCAATCATCATTTATGACACCATAACAATCATGCCACCATTAAATAAATTATAAAGTGGTGTCATTATGTCATTTTAAAACCATATCTAACTATACAAACCAAAAATTTCCATATGTCATGGTTATATTCACCATAAAAGCCACCCCCCCTGCTCAAAGGGATAATATCCTCTCTCTTTCCTATTCTGGCCTCTCTGCTTGTCAAATTTCCTCTAGAACTGGAGTATCCAAGTCCACTGTGGCCAAGTTCATCAAAGAAAGTCACACAGACAGGGAAAACTTCTGTGAAGGGCGTCCATCCAAGCTCACCTCTACTGATAGGAGGGCTATTATTCAACATATCGCTACAGGACAGGCTGATAATGCTGTCCAGGCCACCTATTACATCAATTCCACCATCACATTCCCTGTCTCTTCACACACTGTGAGAAACATTCTCAAGACAGCTCATCTCAGGTCAGTAACAAGGAAGAAAAGGTTCTCCTCTCTATCACACATAAACAGAGATGACTAACCTTTGCCTTAGCCCATCAGAATTGGATTACATGGACTGGAAGCATGTTATATGATCATATAAGACCACAATAAATAGGATTGGGTCAGATGGCAAGGTATATATGTGAAACAAAAAGGGTGCTAGTCCTCTCTGCATATGTGTGATAGAGAGGAGAACCTTTTCTTCCTTGTTACTGACCTGAGATGAGCTGTCTTGAGAATGTTTCTCACAGTGTGTGAAGAGACAGGGAATGTGATGGTGGAATTGATGTAATAGGTGGCCTGGACAGCATTATCAGCCTGTCCTGTAGCGATATGTTGAATAATAGCCCTCCTATCAGTAGAGGTGAGCTTGGATGGACGCCCTTCACAGAAGTTTTCCCTGTCTGTGTGACTTTCTTTGATGAACTTGGCCACAGTGGACTTGGATACTCCAGTTCTAGAGGAAATTTGACAAGCAGAGAGGCCAGAATAGGAAAGAGAGAGGATATTATCCCTTTGAGCAGGGGGGGTGGCTTTTATGGTGAATATAACCATGACATATGGAAATTTTTGGTTTGTATAGTTAGATATGGTTTTAAAATGACATAATGACACCACTTTATAATTTATTTAATGGTGGCATGATTGTTATGGTGTCATAAATGATGATTGATATAGTTTTAATATGTGCTCAAAAAACTGTCCACATGAGTCATGATTTTGTAAGCCTTGTATCTCCACCATATCTCCTCTGATTCTCACGATGTGGTGCTCAATCCAAAGCCCTGAAGCAGCACCACAATATGGTATTAGCATGTTACTGAGGTCTTTATGTATTCTCACACAATATTGTAAATAGTAAAAAATGCAAAAACATGTGGACAGTTTTTTGAGCCACTGTAGATTGTAGCATTAAGTGCAAAATATGCTTTAATTGCATACAACCATTGTAAAGCCTGCTGGGGACTCCCATCGTAAGTGGAAGGAGCTCCAGCTTTAAGCTCTGGGGTGTTGGTGGTGGTGGACATCCTGATCATTCTGGTCTAGTGATGTTTCTGTTCTTGCAGGGGACATTTCGTCTCTCTCTCCCTTGTTCTGTTTCTGGGGTCTGGGACCTTTCCGATGGAGAGGGTTGATGGGTACTTTAATCTTTTGTTATGGACTAGGATAGTTGTAACAACAGCAGCTCAATAACAGCGACAGCTGAAGTTATGAGCAAGACCTTGCAAATACAAGGGTCATAAGACAAGTCAAAGAGAGTGTCTCTGACTTGAATATCTGTTCAGACAACTTAGGATTGGAGGTCCTAAGCAAAGGATGTTTCTGGTGAAAACCTAGTAAGATTAAAGTGAAGATCTACTAAGTACACGATTGAGTATATATAGAACGTAAGTGCTTTAGGGCAGGTACATATACATCAGCGATGAGTCAGAGATAAGAATGAGTCATCTAGCAATGGCAATGGCGATCATGATGTAGTACAAATATAGCAGAAGGCAAGTCTAGTGATGGCGCAGGGCAGTGTGGTCATGACGTAATACAAAGGGAAAAGGAAAATGAATAGGGGTAGACATAACTGTAACAGCTGGTAATAGATATATCATGGACATTGTTGATGACTTCTCATCTTATTCTTGGGCAATCCCTCTAGCATTGAAGGCTGATGTTTTTCCAGCTCTGCAGGCCTGGAAACATGCTTGCAAGCTTGAGACCAACTCTAAGGTTGGTATCTACCATTTACAGTGGCTCAAAAAAGTGTCTCAATGTTTGTGACTTTTCATGTAGTTTCTTTATCATGAGCCAGGGTGTGAGAATATGACTAAGCCATAGGGAGGTGTGGGAAAGCTCTGCCTCTAAGCTTTAAGTTTGATCCCTCTAGCATGAGAAAATTATGTCATGAAGTGAAGATATGGTTCATTTAATTTGGTGACTCATTGAGACACTTTTTGACTTTCAGTTTGACCAACACAATCTCTATAATTCTGGTACTTGGTGTTTCCTCCTGTTGCTCTAATTACTTCTGCCACTCTTCTATGCATACTATCTATCAATTTGAGGCATTCCTCATCAACAATATTGCCCCACTCTGCTGCAACTCTCTCTCACAGCTGAAATAGCCCCTATTGTTATTATCATCAGCTTTTCTAATCTGTATACCAGGCAGATTGCTACTAAAACTGGTCTGAGCAGGGTTGCTATCATTAGGATCATAAAAAGTCATTCCAGATAAGGAAAATATCAAATTAAATTGTCCTTTCAAGCTTACATCATATATCAAAAAATCTCTTGTTCATAATATTCCAACTAGGCAGGCTGCCAATGCTACTCAAGCCACCACATTCATTAATTACATCATATACACTGCTCTCTCCACTTAAATAGTCAGGGGTACTCTTAAGACATCCAATCTTAAACTGTAAACAGGCAGAAAAGCCTTTCCTGTCTTCAGTCTATATAGGAAGGAGATTAGCCTTTGCTTTAAAGCCTCAATATTGGACTGTTGAGGACTGAAATAGGGCTACCTGGTCCGAGACAAAAATCAATAGGATGGGGCCAGATGGCTAGGACTATATGTAATGAAATGCAGAAGAACTACTAGAAGCAAGAAGGGTCAATAAAATACCAAAGTATGGAATAGGAAACTTGATGGTATGGTGTTGTATGAGGTGGAATGGAGTAGGAATTCTCTGTGAGGTGGGGGGGAGGATGAATGCAAAGCAGCACATTTCAATTTTGGAAAAGTATCTACTCAGAAGCATGCAAGAATCAAGAATTAATGAAGAAAACATTACCTTCTAACAAGACAATGACCCTAAGCATACTTCAAGTTGACCATAAAATGGTTTGAAAACTATGGTATCAGTGTTCTATTATGGCAAGTCCAGTCCTCAGACCTCAACCCCATTAAACAACCCTGGTAATTACTCAAGATATCACTTGCAGTCTATCAAGATCCTCAATAGGGGTTATTTCAACTGTGAGAGAGAGTTGCAGCAGAGTGGGGCAATATTGTTGATGAGGAATGCCTCAAATTGATAGATAGTATGCATAGAAGAGTGGCAGAAGTAATTAGAACAACAGGAGGAAACACCAAGTACCAGAATTATAGAGATTGTGTTGGTCAAACTGAAAGTCAAAAAGTGTCTCAATGAGTCACCAAATTAAATGAACCATATCTTCACTTCATGACATAATTTTCTCATGCTAGAGGGATCAAACTTAAAGCTTAGAGGCAGAGCTTTCCCACACCTCCCTATGGCTTAGTCATATTCTCACACCCTGGCTCATGATAAAGAAACTACATGAAAAGTCACAAACATTGAGACACTTTTTTGAGCCACTGTAGATAATGGGGAATTCAAGACTGCTTCCATGTGAGAGTGGCTCCTCTTGTGTGGGACCCAGCATCAATTCATGGCACCTTTTACTTCTACTCAGAATGAGTGTGTCAAACACCTTCATTGGATTCTGTTGGGTAAAGTGCATGCCATGTGTTCAGCCTGTGATGTTCCACCAAACTGCTAGGACAAGTTTATACTTACTGCCAACTACCTTTCTAACCACACTCCAGTTGCCTTGCAGGTAGGTCATACATCCTACAAACATTGGTTTGCCCATAAACCTGACTTGTCCCATCTATGTGAAATCAGATGTTGTGCTTTTGTACTTGTCCAGAATCAACATAACCCCAAAATCTTCAATCACTCTGTTAAGCATGTCCTCATTGGATACTCCCTTGATTCAAAGGCTTATTGGTGCTATCACTGTGAATCCCACAAGGTTTTCATATCCTATCATGTGTCTTTTATTGAGTCTCACAATAATAGCTCTACCTTCTTGCACCCTGGATGCATTATTAACAATTCACCTGCTCCTTCATGTCCTGATACCCCACCCACCACTGAAGTCACTGCTCCAGTTCCCCACCCTCAACTCACACCCAACTCTGCTTCTTCTGGCCCCTTGGATGTGCCCCTCATTTGTTGCTCCACATGCACACCTGTACTGTCCAAATGTCAATGTGCCGCTAAAGATATACCTTATATACCTGCTGCTCAGCGCACCATCCTAGCTTCAATGGCAGCCACTGAACATTTGCAGAACCTTGAGTGCACTTCCTCCAACAGTTCACACAACCTTGCACTAGCTGCTTGTGCCACTGATGCTGGACTTGCAGATCTTGAGGCCAAAATTACCTATCTTACAGAGGTTTTTGCTGCCATGCCTAATGACTTTGAGCATGAACATCCCAGTAACCCAACTACCTATGCCAAGGCCATGAGATCCAAGCACGCAGAACAATGGACTGGAGTAATGTATAAAGAATTTGACTTACTTTGCAACCTTGGCATTTACAAGCTTGTACCACATTCTGATCAGGTTACAAGGTGATGAAGGGTCAGCCTGTATTTAAGCTAAAATGTGACCAATATATGGTACCTGCACATTTCAAAGCACACTATGTCTGTCATGGTTACTCTGCTGTTTGGGGACAAGACTATACCAAGACTTCTGCACCAACTGCCTGTCTTGAGTCCTTCTGTATCCTGGCCTACCTCAGTGCAGCTCTTGACTGGGAGGTTGAGCAGCTCAACATTAAGACAGCCTTCCTCTATGGGCTACTCAACTCTGATGGGGTGTGCTATATGGAGCAGCCTGAGGGATTTGTGAAACCCAGTTTTGAGGACCATGTTTGGCAACTACAGAAGGAACTTTATGGTATGAAACAAAGTGGCTTAGTCTGGAACTATAATCTCAATGATACCATGCTATCCTAGGGCTTTAAGTGTCTAGCAAGTGAATACTGTATCTATTTCTGATGCACTGATATCAGTATCCTCCTCATTGCTATTCATGTTGACAACTTCTTTACCATAGGCAGCTTGAAAGTTGTCCTCACTGACTTCAAGACCCAACTCCACACCAAATGGCAAGTCACTGACCTTAGTGAAGCAAGCTTCTGTTTTGGCATTGCCATTGAATGTGACCACAATGCCTGTACCATTGCACTATCTCAGACTGCCCTCATTGATTGCATCATTGTGCAATTTGGCCTGGAGGATACTGTCCCCACACTAATTCCTATGGAACCTGGCCTGCACTTACCCCATTGAGATCACTCTCCTCACAATGATGCTAAATGTGACCTTATGGCACATACCTCATATTGGTCCCTTATCAGCTCACACATGTACCTGGCAATTGGTACCTGACCTGATATCTCCTATGCAATGCAACAACTATGCAAATTTCTTAACAGTTATGGGCATGTCTACTGGGAAGCTGCTGAGTGAGTTGTTAGGTATCTCAAGGATACTCATGAACTACATCTTGTTCTATGTAGGGACCATACTGCATGTCTTCTAGGTTATACTGATAGTGACCTTGCAAGCTGTGTTAACATATGTCATTCAGTGAGCAGATATTGCTGCTCACTTGGAGGTGGAGTTGTTACATAGAATGTATAACAACAGAAGACAGTTGCCCTTTCCACCTGCAAAGCAGAGTACATTGCTGCATCTAAAGCTAGGAAAGAAATCAAATGGATCTGTACCATCCTTCATGAACTTGGGTTTACCCAATCATCTGCTTTACCTCTCATGTGTGATAACAATGATGCAATTGTTCTCACTGAAGACAACTCCTTCCATGCTTGAGCAAAACACATTGACATGGCCTATCATTCAATCTGTGAATAGGTCTCATTGTGACAACTTAAACTACACTATGTGCAATCTAAAGAGAACATTGCAGACATCTTCACCAAGGCTTTTGCAAAACCAGATTACACATGCCTGTGTGCTTATCTGGGGCTATAGTGAACCAGTCAAGAAGGAGTGTGTTGCATCAAGGAGGAGTGTGTATTGCATTGAGGAGGAGTGTTAGTGCATGTTATGTGCACTGTTACAGTACCTCTATTCTTTTTCCCACCATCACTGCAGATGCCTTATGGCTGTACTTCTAACGCTTCCTTTTCACCTTGCTACTTCCTCATAATCTCCCTTATCTCTGACTCATACTTTGTTTTCCCATAAGCCTTCCTTTCTTAGTATTTGTTACCCTTCACCCAGCTTGGTCTGTGCATGATTCCCTTACATATATAAACCCTAGTTACTGCTTGTATTTTCTCTAACTTGAATCTAATCAGTTCTCTTTGATAACTTAAACTCTAGCTCCTTGGGAAGGAGGCTAGCCTGTGTCCTCTTTGAACTCTAGATCCTGCAGGAGTCTAGATGATCACTCCTGAGGGAGGTGCTGACTTGATAAGGCCTTGTCCTTGATCGACCCTGATCTTGATTCCTTTATTGGAACAATGCTCTATCTAAGTTTGTAACATGCACATGATGACTGCAATGCTACAGAATGCCAACAGACATTATATATAGTGGTTCATGTTTATTTTCTCCTTTTTCCCTCAGTCTGTTACACATATGACTCAGGGAACATTTTCTCTGTTTCTTGTTGTGTTAGATTTCAACACTAATAATCTACCTACAATAGTTCTAATGACAGACAACTCGATAAGAGTCAGGACCTCTGCTGAGAATCTACATAAGGTGATAAGCCAAATGTTCAAGGTAAGCTAAGACAGAGGGAGTGCCTCTGACTTAAAGTATGACTCAGACGACTTAGGATTGGTGGTCCTAAGTGAAGGATGTTCCAGGTAAAACCTAGTAAGATTAAAGTAAAGAACTACACAGTGTAGAGTCACGTATTTATAGGGAATAGCTAGGAAGGATTTAGGGCAGGTGCAAGTAAGTAAGAATATGAGCATATGCCTAATATGGATGAAGCAACAAAGTTAGAGATACAAGAAAGGAAACATACATGTAGGCAGGACATGTAGATGACATCTAATGGCAGCAGTAGTGGCACATGACATAATAGAGTAAATGTAAGATGAGTGAGATGGAAACAATAGATAATGAGAAAGAGAAAAAGTACAGCAGGGCAGGGCATATAATAACAGTGTCTAGACTTTATATTAAGGTAGGCCATGGATATATCCAACTGATGCAGCTCAAAGTCTTCTTTGGCTGCTTACTAATGTGTTTCCACATGCTCATACATAGCCCTGCTCCTTTGCTTACTGATCCCCTCAGATATTCTCCAGTATATAACCCCTGTAGATACTCCTGTAGTTCCTTAGTCTGAATATTATCTTAGACTTTGCTCTATCATCTTAGTTCCTGTTCTCTCAACCTTCTCTTGGACTTTGGTCCACATAAGTCTATCCTATCCATCAGGCCTAGGGATTGATTCTATAGGCCAGAGTCTTGCCTTTCCAGCACTTACTCTCTCTTTGGACTTAAGTCCAATTCCTGTCTCTCTAACTCTACCTTAGGGTAGTTTACCTCTGTTTGTTTCTACATCAGATGAAGTCCAATGTAGCCCCTATTCCTTCCAGACCTCTGGATGTCCTGTCCTTTGGACATTGTTAAGAACAGGTTTGCTCAAGGAAGAGAGAGACTGACTCAGAGGGGCTTGGCCTCAGCTCGTACACTGTGCCCCTTACCCAAGTATGTGTCTTTCATTTCAGATGAGGTCTGATGATGGTCCAATGAAGTCTGGAGGACTTCCAGAGGCTGGCTACTCTGGTGGAGTGCTAGAGGACTTCCAGAGGAGCATGGGAAACATCTGGAGGAGCATGGGAGAGTTCCCACTACAAAGTAATACTTCTACAGGAAACAGGATGAGAGGATGGAGGATGGAGGACAGAAGGACAGAATGTATGGAGGTATGGAGGTATGGAGGACAGGACACCTGGAGGTCTGGAAGGAATATGGGCTACATCAGATGGAGTCTAATATAGAAACAAACAGAGGTAGACTACCCTAAGGTAGAGTCGGAGAGACAGGAATTGGACCTAAGTCTGGAAAGAGGGTAAGTGCTGGAAAGGCAATGCTCTGGCCTATGGAATCAATCCCTAGGCCTGATGGATAGGACAGACTTAGGTGGACCAAAGTCCAAGAGAAGGTTGAGAGAACAGGAACTAAGATGATATTCAAACTGAGGAAACTACAGGAGTATGTACAGGGGTTATATACTGGAGAATATCTAAGGGGATCAGTAAGCAAAGGAGCAGGGCTATGTATGAGCATGTAAAAATACATTAGTAAGTAAGACAGAACATAACTAAATGAACTCAGAGATGAAGACTCATACAAGGATCAATAAGCAAGACAAAACAAGAGGTAGCTAAAAGCTGGAAAGGCAGAGATGTTTAAATGGGGATAGGTACAGGATATCAGACAGAGGGCAGGAATACAGCCAGAGATAGTTATGGTTAATATCCAGAGGTCTGGAGATCTGGGGATCTGGAAGGTGAGGTGGATACAGGACTGGGATATGATGAGGTGAATACAGTCCTGAATATGAGATGAGGTGAAGTCTGGATGTCTTGCTGGATGGAGTGCGCATAGGGTGGACAGAATAGGGTGGTACAGATCAGGCTAGCAGTGAGGATCCAGAGGTCCAGAGCTCAGGGGTAAATCCACAGTGGAGTTGATCCTGCCAAGGTGTGGAGCACACAGTGGAAGGGGATCTGGGAATGAGTTGGATATGGGGTCTGGATGTAGGCTTGGAAGGCACGGAAATATTATGGAATGTGGGTCTGGATTGTGGGATATGACAGATGTCCTGTCCCTTGTACCTCTGGACCTCTGGACCTTCAGTCCTCCTGTCCTTCATACTTCTGGACATCCTATCCTTCCATCCTGTTTCCCATAGAGATATTTCCTTGGGGTCTCTCCACTTCCTGTGCAGTGGGAACTCTGAGTATTTTCTGTACTCCTCTGGAACTCTCCCACATTCCTCTGGATGTTTCCCACACTCCTCTGGAAGTCCTTTGGACTTCATCAGACCATCATTGGACTTCATCTGAAATGAAGAGCACATACTCGGGTAAGGGGCACAGCATATGAGCTGAGGCCAAGCCCCTTTTAGTCAGTCCATCTCTCCCTTGAGCATGGTTCTTAACAGCACTGTGAATTGTAGATCCAAGTCATTTTGCTTTGCACTTAATAGTCACACATGTCTTCTGTTATGTCTTCTATTTTGAACTGTGGTTGTTCAGAACTGCACCAGAAAACATAAGCATGATGACTCACATCAAAGGTGAGTTGCTTCAAATCCCTCCTGCCTATATTGAATCCTTCTTGCAGTTCATATCCTAATGTCAGTTCACTGCCAGGCCCCTCATCTATGTTATATTGCCAAACTTCCTTTGGAAACCCTTGCCAAAATATTTGTGCTAGCCACACATGGCTCCCATGGACAACATGAAATGTATGAGAATAATGAGATTGCCCCTCAAAGTGTCACTATGCTAGATGTACTGTTACAGTGAACCGTAGGTCGACTAGGATGGG